ACCCCTCAAAGAACAATGACGGTAATCTATAATCCGCTGCTATTGCATGATCTTTACTCCCAAAAAATATTAAGTTATGAGAACATTTCACACAGGGATTGCCTCGCTTTGGATTCAAGATGGCTGACTCAAGAATAAGGCCAATTAACACAATGCTTTATGTCTCCAATAAACAAAGCACATAAATTATACATGGCGTGAGCCCAACTATCTACAACTTTCAATTGTGAAAGTTCAAAATTTTAACCCAGAAGGTCAGAAAAAAAAGTTGTCTTCACAATGTTCGGGCACTCACACAAAACCAAAGCGGATGGCGACGAACTGCGCCACCACGCCCGCTGCTATGGCAACGATGGAGTTTCCGAGGGTGGCATGGGAGAATATGGTGCCCAAGAGATCTTTATCAAAGGCTCTCTGCAGATTAGGAAAGAAAACAAGCAGTTGTTAGAGTAATATTCTGGAAAAAGGCTTGCCACTGTCAGCAACTCTTCTCCTCTTTGGCAGGGCCATATACATGTAATTACTTCCTACATGGAAACCAATAGAAAGTCGGCATTATTTACACACCAAGTTCAATCTTTCATGTCCATAACATAGAGACAATACAAATTATAAATAGACCGGTTTACAATGTTTTACAGGGTAAGGGCTATCATACAGTACATGTGCTTCAGGATAAATCCTTCACTGCTTGAGTTACATGTACATTTACCCCCCTTGTAAAAATCTCTACACATATACATAACATCCGGCCTGTACACAGAAACGTACACTGTACATGTAACTGTGTCTAGCAGTGCACTGCTAAAAAATGGCCAAGACCAGGGGGCAATTAATTTATTTTGTTTGGAAAATGTTGATTAAGGAAAAATACCAAGCTTTTATTTTTTTCAGAACAGTAACCCATAAGTCTCAAATCTTCAATTCCACCAGAATGGAAGATTTGAGGATGGAAGGATTGAGGAAGGCAGAGCACAGCTACACGTGCATGTATTACTTTACTCAGGGCTTCAGGTTTGCATACGCAGATGTGGGATTTGCCTTTCAATTGCTGCACAAATTTGCCAATGGGTATTTCACTTTACCGACAAAATAAAAATGTCTACAGAGTTAAGGTCAAATTCATACTAGGTGCAAAGGCAGATTACCAATCCAATTTTGTGATATCAGATCAAACATTTGTGAAATTAGCAACAGCTGAACACATTTCAACTGAAGCAAAAATTTCACTGCAAACGTTTTTGAACGTCAAGTTCTCTTTGCTTTTGCATGTACCAGAAGCAGGAGAGACAACAGCACGGAGATGCACTCTAAAGGCATTCAGACCACCTGGAGTGTCTAGAATAGGAGTCATTATTGCACAGAATTACCATGTACTGTACTTGTTCTTGCATTGTTGCAAGGCTGTACTGGAATGTCCGTACCTCTGCCTGCTTGTACAATATAAAGATACATGTACTGTACATTGATATGTACATGCAAGTGTATACATGTACGTTATGTGTAGACACGTAAATGGTCAAGCACTTCCTAACTTTTTATGACATTTGTCAAATCATTGACAGGTGATGCATGAAGGTTGAACTCTGGTGATAAAGTTTAAAAGCACTGTGCATAAATGTATGACATGGCGTACATGTTCATGTACATGTACGCAATCACCGCCTACCTCATGTGGACTTGTGAACAAAAGTTGTCCACACAGTGCAGGAAAGGCAGACATTCTGTGTGTGGGCAGGTGTTCGTCACATTAAGAGAACAATTTCTTTTGTTTGGCCAATTAGAACTGCAGTTTTGGGACATTTCCATGTCCCCAGAATGTTTTTGGACCCTACAAAATTAGTGTAATGATAACTGCCTGTCCCCACAACTACCAAGCAAGCATACATGTACTGTGTCTGTGGGCTAACCTTACATACCTAGTGTGGACTTGTGAACAAAGAATATCCACACGATGCAGGAAAGGAAGACATTTTGTGGACTTACACACGTCCACAGGATATTTCCCCTTCTCTGGAAAAGAGGTTTAGAGACATTTTGGGCTAGGGGTCATCCGTCGTAAAAGGAAAAGTAATAGTCAAGGAAACCTTGTACAAAACAACAGCTGAAAATCGTGTTCCTAGTTCAAGAAAAACGAGTATTTTCACTGAGTTTTCTTAACTGCACGAAAAGAAAGGAATGTCCACAGTACATGTAGGTATGTAAGGTTGGGGTGTGTGTGCACGTGTGTTGTATATGTAGTGTGAACTCAGCGTGCAGTTTTCACCTCTGCGCTGTCTACCGTTGCCAATGGCAACAGGTGGCTGACTTTTATTAAACCCTCTAGGGTATGTGCACTTCAAACTATAGGTTCAATATATATGCAGGTATACACGAGCTAATTATGACAATAAGGGCCGATACAAGGCCACATTTGGCCTGTATCCAGTCTGCATACATGTACAGTGTATGGACTGCCTGGTCCACTGTATATATCCAGTGGTATTGCAAGATTTAAAAAAAAAGAACAGACTCTCTGGTGACACCACCGTCTATGATGCCTTGACCACATTAGGTCAGGGCACAGCACACAGTGTGTTGGATGATTACCATTTATACAGTCACCAGTTCAGCCTGAGTCAAGTCCCAATAATCCTACATACATGTAGTTTCATATTTTTGTACATACATGTATGAAGCCAACGTCTCTCCTCAAAATGCACAAGTTTTTGTCCGCGTTGTACTGTTTGCCAGACATCGGCAGAATTTCCATTTCATACTAATTCAATTCAACGGTGGGTTTAGTCTTCTTCAGACTTTTGAAGTGTTCCATTTTGTTATCTAATCACTTAACCGGGAAAAAAATTTCTATTGAATGAAATGAATTGAACGAAATACAAAAATTCAAAATGTTAGTCGTGATATTGAGAAGTGGCCAAGTCCAAGCAAACACAGACCTACACGTACGCCACTGTCTTGGAAATCTTGCCCTCACATTAGGTGTCTGGATGTTTCTGTAGGTGATAATCAAGGCAAAATGTCTGGGAAAACAAACCCCGGCGCCAAAGACAGAGACAGCTAAGATTAAGAAACTCTCCCCCTCTCCCCCGTAAGACAGCAAATCCGGACTTACCGCATGGTGTTCATAGACTACCCATGATTCAAAGGCACTGTACAGAATAGAGGTAGCAGTTCCCCCGAGCAATCGACCAATCATGAGAATGTGAAAGTTGTTGAAGTGTTTGGTGACGCAAGCCAGGGCATAGAGGATCCCATACAAGATGCAGTTAGCCCTTCGCCCACTGGAAAGACAAAAATGGGCAATTTTGTAAAGGAGAATTTACACTAACAACTGAAGGAACGACGTGGACCAGTTCTGATAAAAATCAGAGGTGTAGTTTAGCTGCATACAGACATATCGTGTACAGGCCCACCGTACAGGGGTAATTCCAGAAATAAGGGGTCCATTTCTTTGTGTCCCTGTTACATCTGACATATAATTTTGTAAGTTCAGAACACATTTTCTAATTTCCAAGAGTGATGAATTAATGCAAATCACCTGCCAAACAAATAGTAATAGTTTGGACACAATTCACTGATCTTTCCATGTCAAATAGCAAAGGTCAGACGTAACAGGGACACAAAAATGTCAAACTTTGGACCCCTAATAACTGCAGTTACCCACATGTACATGTACGTCATATGTGTACAAGTGAGGGATTTCTGACACTTCCCACTGCATTCAAAATCCTGCACAACATTACCGGTAGCATGCCCCCAAGACAGTGACTCTTAAGTGCTGTATGCACAGTGCACATGTATATTTAGAATATAATTACTCCATTTGCCAATGATAGAATAGGTTCAGCAGGTGCTGATTTAAGCTTGTGTGATTTCAAAATTACAAATTCCTAAATGCAACAATGGCTTGAATAGTTCCATGCTTCTTTGTGGATGTTGGGACCTTTCTGAAATGTTCCCATCGTCCCATTTCTCTTGCAAAATTTAATGATGCAGAACAAGCCTGCGATGTGATCGTTGTGTCCCCAGTAGCACCTGGTAACAATGGATGTGTACAATGGCCGACATGGCGCTGCAGGTACATGTCGACGTATGCAGGCCACATATACCCGGTAAATTCCTCTTAAGCTCACATTCTGAAACATGCTCAGCAAGAAGAGTTACTATCAACCCCACCAGTGCAAACTCATTTGAACCGAGAGATCACTTTTCATGTACGTGAAAACGTATACAGCACCATGTCTGTGAATAATGCTGTTCTACTACAGTTCTTAAACAACATTTCTTCATGAAAAGATCCCACTTGTAAAGGTCACATCATTATTTTAAAGGTCAAAAAGGTTGCTTTTGTTCCTCTACACACTCTTAAAAAGTAAAGCCCATCATTTGCCATCGGTGCATTGCGTTTGTCTGATTTCAACTGCCCAACTAATATTTTATCAATCTTTTTTCAATCTGTACTTCCTTTCCTCATCACGTTTTGGAAAGTTTTCTTCTTACATCAATACACGCACCTGTCTCTACTAAAATATTTCCGACAGTTTGATTATAGTCTTGTTTCTAATGTCAGAATGTGCCTTGTGGTTGTTTTTGGTTATTTGAAGAAGGTAGCATCTGCTAAACTGAGAGGTTTTTAGAACGAGCCCATTTTATGTGGACAGATCAGTTACCGCTTGATTGGATGTGGTGAGTATTCAATGAAAGATGTGTGACAGGCCTGCATGTGCAACCACAGGAAGTCTGCAATGCAGTTCGATTTGCAAGGCTATGCAGCTGCACCACCAACAGATGGCCCATGAGGGCTAGATTTCAGGAAATCAATACTTCCATTCTTTCATAGAATTGCTAAATAGCAAAAAAAAGCAGCTATCACCATGACTACTTGAATCCAATCACATATACATGTACTGCACATGATATAAATGGACTTGCAAACGAGATGCTCCCAAACCAAGACAATGACACATATCAATACACAGTTGACTCATTTATTGATATATCATGCAGCCCCAAACTGCCAAGCTCAAATGTCATTATATTAGACACATATTTCTGAATTTCTTTTACGCATGTAGGAAATTGACAGATGTTCAGAAAATCATCAGAAACTTCAGAAATTATGAGAACTATTGGTGTGTTATATTTTTTGTTCAAAAAAACAAAAAGGAAATTTTACAAATTGTGAAAAAAATTAGATGTCAAACATTTTCAAAAATCAATTGTTTAGAATCATGCCTCATGTAATAGCAATCAGGTCATAAACTAATACGCTCTCTTCTCAAGATAACTTCATTTAATATCATTTCTCCATCAGTTACACGTACCCCCCGATTACTTTATACATTTAAATGTTATATTCAATTTGCTGTAAAAAATTGTTTGTTTCCCAAAGACACCGTCTACTGCTCCCAAGTTCAAGGTACACCCTCACCGAACTGACTGTTAGAAACTCAAACCATTTGACAGTGCTTTTTATCAAGACTCAATGATATAAAATATTTCCTTTCTCTTCAATGATCCAATTAATCAATTCCCAGTCATTAGAGTTTTTTAATTCCTTGAATGCTATTTTTCACCCCTTACTAATTTTTATGTCACATTATTTTTCTTACTCGAATTTTTAATCATGTGTTAACTAATTTGTCTTGTCATTACCTCCTCTGTGGAATTTTTAGGCATATATGTTTTTTTGATAACCATTGTTCGGGCTGACCCTACTGTAAACCAAATTTTTTAGCTCATGTGATTTTTTTTGGGTTCTTTTAATGATAATCCAAACTATCTATCTATGGGGAATTCAAGAAATTAGGGGTCCAAAAGTGTGACATTTTAGTGTCCCTGTTACATCTGACCTTTTTTATTTGACATGGAAATATCACCGAAAATGATTTCAAACTATTACTATTTGTTTGGCAGGTAATTTACATTAATTCATCACTCTTAAAAATCAGAAAATGTGTTCTGAACTTACAAAATGGTATGCCAGATGTGACAGGGACACACACAAAAATGGACCCCTATTTTCTGGAATTACCCCTATCTTTTTATCTATCTTCATGTATAACAACTTCTTGAAGACCTAATATGCATAACAATAGAACATGCACAACAGGTTGTTTAATAAAGTAAATAAAAGTCACGGAAGTATACATATGACAGTTGATACACTACGAGAACATGTCCACGTAGCAATCACTTTCACTGTGGAGTGGTGCACACATGTCCCTGTATCGTGCGTTTCTCAACTTCAACACATACTTTACAACAGTTACAAAAGCGGTCCATTTGTCCCCACATCCCCATGTAGCAACAGCGGGCCTGAAATTGTCTGTAAAAGTTACTGGTGAGTTTGGCATTAATGGGTTTTGTATCAACGAAGCTGCATTCACTGCCATGAATTGGCAAGCAATGACACCCCTTCTGCTTTGCCCAAATTTATCAGCTAGGACAAAGCCGGTTTCTTTCTGTTCTCCTTACACCCAAGGCCTAGATTGTGGTGAAGTGGATGCGGTTTAGGATTTAATGCGGATACTCACTATTTGTCAGCAAATGATCCCACCACAGTGCCGACGATCATGCTGGATCCAAAGCCAGCCACAAAGAGCTGCTCTATCTGGTGCGACGTCATCCCATAATGCTCATATAGTGCATAGACGTAAGGCCCCTGCAGCCAATCAGCAGCTGACAAAAATTAACAGAAACCGATGACTGGTCAAAACTTGGAAAGTTTCACACTTTACAGAACCCATGCAAAATGACATCTCGGAAGGTTGAGATTTCTGTAGCTGTGTACATGTAGTTGCCATTTCAGCTATGCTACAATTCAGAGGGGCTCATTTCAGGTCACGACTAAGCACGGATATGACAGGCCTACCGGCATGACCGGTACAGACATGCTAAGACAAAACAGTTACGGACCAAAGTGTCGAGCCAATAAATGTATGTGACCTACTCTGCCAATAAAAGGTATAATTTGTTGCATCTCTCGAGCCATCCTGGCATGAGGCCAATACTACCAGATAAAGACCAACATTCAGTCACAACGACCCAGCTGCACCTGAAGTGATCGGACTTTCAGGAAAGTGTGGAATTCTTACCCATTGCCAACAGGTAGACCACCAAATACCTGTGCTGAAATCTCCTGAATGCAGCATCATCTGAAGATGGTGCTGCAGAGCGTGTGTAGAGGTAGAGCAGGCTACAGCATACGCACAAGGCGTAGAAGGACGATACAAATATCATGAGGGTACCCTGACCCCAACAGCTCTGCACAGAGTGAAAAATGGAAGTGAAAATACCAAATTAAAAAAATGAATATTAACAGAGAACATGGTTGTAAGTACATACTCCCACGGACGTGAAAGCCGCGACAACTGTCATACATTCTGGAGAGACAAAATTGTGGCCAAACATTTGGCCAAGTAGAAAAAAACTCTGTTTTGCATGTTTTCTGTAAAAAAGAGGAAGCAGGGTTTTTCTTTCATTTTCTATTGCTTAGACTCCAAATAAATTGAAAGAGAGAAGTGGGAAGAGAAGTGAAAATAAAGGTTTGTTCAGGACATTTATAACAAGGTTTCACAACTGTGAAAAACATCAATTTTTTTTTTTTTGCAGCACACACGTGTATGTTCATGCACAATTTTCGCAGCCACGACAAAGCATTTTGATCACAAGTGTTTCATTTGTGATTAGATTAGTTTATGTTTGTGCTTTTTCACCACATTTTTCTTCTTGATAGTAAGTTTTTAAAATTTTTTTTAAAGTTCTTAAATCCAATAGGATGATTTTCAGGGTTTTTACAATGTGCTTTGCCTCAAATGCATACTTCATTCCTTCCATTTTTCAGGGCCAATTCTTGGCAGGTATGAAGCAAAGTTCCTCTTTTTAACAAATGATTGCTATGCCTCATGTTTACGTTGGGCACAATTAGACAATCAGAGCAACTGCTTGGTCTTGGCGTGGTAGGCTGATCTTGTTCCACAGTTTTTCGACAGTGAGTTTGTTGCACCCACCTTACTACTTGCAGTTGTAGCAAAGTGGATGATGAGCCAATGTTACGACTTGATTTCAATCCATACAAGCGTTATTTTAAGCAATATAGACTCTGTTTTCTCAAATGTAGACCAGCCCTTGAAAGCCGTTTTACTAACATTTTTAACCTGTTTAACTTTTACAAGCATGACAAGGGGTGTGTCAATCCAAAATGACATGTATCTTTGCAGAATTGGAAAATGTATTTGAGGAGCCTTTCAGGGGAGGACATTGCTATGATGGAAGACAGGCATGTTCTTGTTCAGCACCTTGTGCAAAAATATTGTAGGCCTACTCCATCCTGAGTTGATTTGTATTTGAATGAAATTCATTCATTGGATAATCAACTCAAGATGGGCAATGAAGGCGTAGGCCCTAGGCCAACAATAAATTTGCGCAAGCGTCAAGATTGCTCTGAACATTTTCATATTGCTTAGACTTGCTGTGGTAACAGGGTCCTAGACTCAGGATTCCCCCAATTTTGCCATGATTGTACTTGGTCCGAGTAACTTGGACCCTCAAAATGTTTCTTTTCTTCCCAAATGTGAATAAACCTTACAATCATTATTGGAGTCTGCAATTCTCACTCGGTCCATAGCCGGGCGCATTAGACAGTTTACGGATTGTTTTGGGGGTGAATTCGGAGGATTTTGATTTGGGGTAGGAGCTATTTTGAGTGAAATGAATTAACGGAAGCAAAATAGCCTACGAAAGGTATTTGGATCCTGACTATCGCCCGACCATGTCCAAATGTTTAAAAAGGCAATCTGTAGGGTCCAAGTTACTCTGACTAGATTGAACTCGAGTCAGAATGGTTGAAGACAGGCTCGCCCCACCCACATTTCCTGTGTGTACGCGCACATAACGTACAGGTACAATGTACATGTATGTACTGGTACATGATGTAGGCTTACTGTACATGTTCTTCATGTAATGATTGGCCAGACAACTTAAGACAAAAAATAGTGAGAATAAAAGTATTGTACATCATGTACCAGTACATACATGTACATTGTACCTGTACGTATGTGCGCGTACACACAGGAAATGTGGGTGGGGCGAGCCTGTCTTCAACCATTCTGACTCGAGTTCAATCTAGTCAGAGTAACTTGGACCCTACAGATTGCCTTTTGCATTTGCAACTGCTTACCTGCTCGATGAAAAGGTACTGCAAATGAGCAACTCTTACACAGCATTTGCGACTAGGGCATGTGCTTGACTTCCGAACCACGCAGAGCTAATTTTAATACTAATCACTGAATAGGCCTACATCATAGAATAAGTGCCGGGTATTTGTTTTGCTCGAGCTGCATGTACAGCTGATACACCAACTAGACATAAATCGACGCTTGGAGGCGCTACTCCCACTTTGAAGGTGCCACTTCCTTGCCCCCCCCCCCAAACCGAACTTTCCATAATGATGTGCCCTCTCCTGGGGCGGCGGCCGGGGTCCTGCTAAGAAATTTAATAAGGAAAAAAATCTGGTGAGAATCCACCTTAGTTTCAACTAGTGACCAAATCCATTCACCCATTAAGCGTCGACGTGGGTCCTCCAACAAGTACGCCCACCAGTTGAAACATGTTCCACAGTTATGCTTCTGTTGCCAAAATGAATAGTATTGTTATGAATTAAAAGTGCCAATGTATAACATTATACAAACGGTATACTGTGACCGAACGAGCCGTTGGTGTAATTAACGCCTGGTTGTCGCTTGCCCCCCCCCCCCGGCATGAGGCGAAGTAAAAATTAAAGTGCGCCCTCAGATCAGGCGCGCAAATGAACGAACCACGAAATTCAAACCTTGCTAGTCGCCCAAAAACCGATGTTTGACGGTGTCCGAATTACTTGGCTGCAGTTAGAAATTACAACTTGGCCGCAGCCAGTTTCCATAAAGTTGTATGCTATTTTAAGCCGCAGCTAAGTGATTCGGACTGAAGTTATGATCGACGTCGAGGTATTTAAATAATAAGCTTCGCCGGTGTTAACTCTAGCACGTCTTCAAGGTGGTTTTGCAGCCCAGAAGTCGTATGATAACGTAGGCTTTAGTTTGGTCGAGGCTATGGCAATGTATATAGGTTCATTGTTGACAGGGTTATTAATTAAGGGCATAGGCTGGTTTGGCTGCAATTTTCAAGGAAGCGGAACTCCATCTTCCAGCATTTCAATGAGGAAGGAAGTGCGCTCGTGAAAAGCAGAGATATACATGTACATCATTGCTATTTTACTTTCAGTCATTGTGTTTCAAAACCCAAGTACTTTCACCTTAATAAAATAACTTACTCTGCTGTTTGATTTTAAAAATAACATATGAACATGATCTCAAGCGGCACTCCCTTCTGCCAGCGGCCCCTGGTTATATTCTTGAACCCGGCGTAAACAGCCTCTGTCCAGGACGAGAGGTTATGAGTTCAGTCGAGTTGTTGGCCTTTGGCTGGCGAAGCTGAAGTGCATCCGTTACACTGATTAGAAGCAGGGAGTATACTTCGCGTGTTCGGTGACGAAAGAAACGTACCAGAGGTAAGGGGTTTTAATACTGAGCCGAGTTTTTCTGAAGACTGCTTTGATGTGAAACATGAAAGTGCCGGGAGTTGTGTTAGTCAGTTGAGTATTTTTCGTGTATGTCGGGTTGGATTAGGCTAAGGGATAGTGAAATATTGTTGCCGATAACTGCACAGTGTATTGAGGTTTAATCTGGTGTGATGACCCCAGAGGTTTTGGAGAATTTTAGAGCAAAACAGTTGGAACGCTTATGCTGGCAAAATTTGGAATTTAGTATTAAACAAAAAAGATCATAAATGCAAAACCAGTCGAGGATGGTGCAAACAGATACATCATTGCTGACACGGGTACTCGTGGATACTCCGTTTCAGGATCGACTTCCAATATCTTAAATTTCTGCATTATATTTTTTGGCCTACTTCGACAAAAACATTTTTGCAAGAAGTAAAGAACCCGGGCCACGCGCCTGTGGAAATTACTAAGAACGATGAAAGGAGATAAATTAATCTGCCTTTTCAGTTGACATACATGTAGGATATAAAACTGCGTTTGTGACAATTAAAGTGATCAGCGTGCATGTCAACCCATAGAGTATTAGTGTCCTGATCATGGAAAAGTATCCAAACCTATATCACCGATTCAGATTTTATTGCAATAAGTTGGCTTATACTGGGAGCGTTCTATCATGGAGGTAGAAATAATCTGGGTAAAGAGGTTTTTGATCAAGATTTGTGATTCTTCTCTCATGCTACAAAATGATCCTCAGTTTTGAAGGAAACGCAGTTAAGGAGATAATGAACCAGGATTGTGTCCGTGAGTGAAAATAATACATTTACTGCCTAATCACACAGTGACATAGATGCATAATAGGTAAAGTTCAAGCGCGATCATTGTCAACCACCAGTTGATTTTTCCTGGTACCCAGGAATAACATTTCACGCGGGTTAGGCCAATTCAAATTAATTCCTTGTTTATCATCCCCGCCCGACCGGATTTTCCCTAGCACCTCGACTTTTTTTGATTATTTCCAACTTCTTAACAAATTTCCGGCCCTTTTCAACCTTGCAGTTGTGTCTATACCACAAAAATTGTCTAGTCTTGCCGTCAACCATGACCGATTGATCTGATCATCCTGTTTTACGGAACACTCAGATTAAAATAGTGTACAAGAAAGGTATTTTAGAAATCTTAAAAGTCTGGAAAGTACTAACTTGAAATATCAAATGTCAAAGGTCCTCCCGGCCCAAAAATATAACTTTGAGTGATGATAAACAACAAATTGATTTTAATCGGCCTTACCAAATATTGACAAAATGCTGTCGTTCAAGCTTGCTCATAGATGAAAATGCATCGCACGAAATGGGACTCTAAACTCGAAGAAGGCGGTATAACCATGCCATAATAAGTCCGGCATGTCATGAAATCTGACACTTTTTTGCAAGTGATTGAAAATGTACTTTTTTTGGTACGGGATATAAGCCTTCAATTACTTAAATTAAAAAATAATTGAATTCCGTATTGGTTTCACGAAGGTATATTGGTTAAGTTAAAATTCAGTCTCCACGCCTTACAAATTTTCCATTATTTTATCCTACACTTTTTTATTTCCTTTTAATCAGACAACTAGGATACTTATTCGCAAGTCCCAACTTTATCACCTTTAGTGGAGAAAAATATGATTTAGAGTCAGCAATATAAATTAACTATTAAACTAGCTCTCATAAATACATCTTGCTATTCTTTATTGCCATTTTGGCCAATATACCTTCAAAAACTACACCCAAACATTCGTTCATTGCAATGAAGCGAAGAAACCCCCGGCAACCTTTGTTTGAATGAAAAAAAGGTAAATAGGTAGGTCTTTCACCTTTAACCTACTGAGGAGAGGCGATCTGTACTACCAATGCTACGCGGCTGGACTTTGCCTGATCATTTGGGTCATCTTCCAAAATAACGCTAAAAAGCTGTCTGAATGTAATCACTAGTGCTTAGCATAATGTAGTGTTGATTAGAGTCAATATGCATTGGTCATAATATTTTTTTATACTAAAAGGACCAACAATAATAAATGCAAGTTGTATCATATTAAAAAATTGTTTATTACTACCTTCCTGAGTGTAAAGGGGTTTTGCATAACTGATAGTAAACCATCAGAAATTACATTGTTATAATTTGGCCATCACCATTCTATTCAGGGACATAATCATGGACCCCTCCCCAGTGCATTTTGTACCGAGCAGACAAAAAAAGTATAGTGTCGGCGTCTGCCGTGTCTGCCAAGAGGAAATGCAGAAGTGTAGGCCAAAGTATTGATTGAAACAAATCTCTTCAGTTGACATTTAATTCAATGTTAACGGCAGACACCGTAGATACTGCCCTCCGGTCCCACCTCGATTTGCTTCCGTCATGTTACATCTTTTTCAGTTCCAAGCGTCTGGAAAATTTCAGAATTCTCCCCCTTAACAATCCCCCAGCTCCAATTTTCACCAAAGGATTTACATCGACCTGCACCAAATTGTTCCTCGATCGGCACCGTGGGTTGACAGGCTTTACTTAGGAAGACTGATTCACCAGGTATGCACAAGTGCATCAAAAGCAAGCACGGATCTACGAAAACTCCACTCCGTGGCATTCACTTTTCACCACTTTTTATCATGCGTGCGTTTCTGCAATTATCGCGTAATGTTATGGTGGTTGTGTACATAACGACACGTAATTTCCAGCAATCGCGTGCGTGTAACCTCAACGTACGAAGTATCATTGATGAAGTACATGCTAGAAAATGCAAAGGATTTCCCAAAAGATGTTGTTTACTGGTCTCCGTAAAGAATCACATTTTAAGTCTCCAACTTTATTTTTCCGTGGTGATAGCACTTGAAAATCTTTCTTATCTAGATGTTCGTCCTTTGCATGTTAATCACAGTATGTCGCACTATAAGGGGCATATTTTACTTTTTTTTTTTTACTCAATTGCATGTTATGGAAATAGCTGTAAATTCACACAAGTAACTGATTAACTGTGTTACAATGTTACTTTTTCGTCACAGGATTTTACCATGGCCATAGCGACCGTCTCTAGGCAACAAGGTCAGAGCATGGTGCTCTTTTTCATTGGCACTGGAGCAGTATTCGTGTTGTGTACGGTTTACGTTGGTCTCAACTACGTGCCCATCAATGTGCCGAATGTAACGAGCTTGTCTGAGCGGTTGGTGTTAGCTTCGCGGTGGCTAGTGTTGTCGCTCCTTCCAATGATATATGGTGTGGTGGTAAGTCTATCCGCTTCAGCAGAAGTGCCCCCTTATCGTATGGAGGACCAAAGTAGACAATCCCCATTTCGTATTTTCTGCTAGTAGATTTTGAGGTTTTTAGAATTTGGCTGTGAGTGACCCCCCCACATGAATTTTCTGCTAGCGCCTAATTTGGATCGTCTTTTGATGACTCCAGCGATGCCCCAAAAACTGGCTGACTGAATACTTGAAACGAACGTTTCAATTTCCAGTTGACCAGTTTTCTGTTCGAAATCTCTCGATTACATGGTCATGGCAGAGCTGCGGTACCAGATTCATCATTGTTGCTATTTTTCCCGATAGAATATCGCATTTACTCGGTTTAGCAACATCGAGACAGCAGGTATCAACCCGTCCCTTGTGATCTCAGAGCACCTCACGGGCATGAAACAACGTGCTCTGCAGAACACCTTGGAGCAAACAGTGATCCACGTCGCTGCTGTGTTGGCTCTGAGCACTTACCTAGAAGGCGACAGACTGAAACTCGTACCGATTTCCGTGTTCTTGTTCCTGTGTGGACGGGTGACATTTTACATTGGGTACCTGGGTACGAGAAATCCCTTGTATCGTGCTTTCGGTTTTGCTACCACCTCCATAACCAATATCGCTGTGATTGCCTACGGATTGTACTATCTGTTTTCCAGCGGGGTCGGACAAGGATTCTCTAGTTGAGGGAGTGTGGAAGTCGAAAATAGCCTTTAATCCAGAACAAAATGCTTTTAGATAATACAGAAGTGGTGACATATTTGTGTTATTGGATCAATGTACCGATACAAGTAGCATAGCAGCAGGACGAGGAACTTTCCTATAGAATGGATTTCCATTGATCATGTTTGAGACGTTTGAGCATTTTCTGTAAAAAAGTTGTTATTTTGAGAGCTAACTTTTCAGAGACGCATTGCCATCGCTGGGGGTCAGGATTATTGTGTAAATGTTCTATAAACCTGCTAATTTATGATGAAAACGAAATATTGTATTCTGATGGACAAGTAGCATAAATTATAGAAAGTTAGGACCTCAAATGGAATTTAAGTCTTGCCGAAATCAACCAGAGAGATGCGGCTTGTCACGTAAGCCTACGGCAAAGTACGTCGCGTATAAGCTTAGAAAACTGGGCCTACGTTCAGCACGAGAAAACGTCTACAAAAATTTCCATTCTTAGTCTTACTTCGATAAGAGTGTTTGCAGCATCAAAAGATCATGAATAACCACCGGAGCGGCACTTCATAGTTCAAACTGAGGAAACTGAGTTAAATTTTAGAACTATGTTTAGTAAGAGTATGAACACCACGAGAAGGCGTGACGTGTCGAGGCAAGTTAGACTTGTCCCAAGTCTGACCGCCACATCTGTTGTAAACCATCCGCGTGGCAGGTTTTTCAACAAACAGGAATGCGCACATTGTCTGAGGTACATGTATTTATGGATTTGGTCAAGAAATATCTGCTATTGGTGGTATGCTCACAGATATGTACTACATTATGATTTTCTTTAAAGCACATTTATTGTAAATCTGGATTATTTTTAACTCTTTAATCAAATGTTTTCGATGTTCAATCGTTTGCGATAATTTTTAGGTGCACTTTTGTCCAAGGTTTACCCTTCACTCAATCATCAGCCAGATCGTCACTTCGACGATTTGGACTGTCTTCACGATGTCGCTAAAAGCCGTTGCTTCCTCCAAAGACTCCCGTCAAGTTCTTGCGTTTGTTATTTGTGATACTGAATTTTGACTCTCTGCTGTCCAGCGACCCTTTGCACTCAGACCACTGCACCTTATTGATTGTCCGCTCATGTACCACGAGCCCTTCCATGTCTACGCTAGAAAAGGTCCAACGATATGACGTGCGTCCTCACAATTCCCCCTTATATAGTTTTGTCACCATGTCTTGCCGAGAGAGGCCGAGAGTTTCGCGACCAAAATGTGAACCCAATGGCAGCTTGAGCTGCAAGCATACGTAAGACAGGAGCCTATAAGGCCACTTGGGTTTGGCCTGTTTGCTTAATGGCTTTGTTCCAGTCAGAATTTCAAGGCTTACTCACAATCATTTCTTTATATTGGTTAGCATTTCAGTATAAACGCTACGGTGAACACGCTGGTGTCATAATAGGTCATGTCCGCCGTATCGAGGTTTTGTGACGATTCTATATACATATATGCATTGTATTTCCATGGCCGAACCGCAGTGAGAAGCCGTAACCGCGCATGTAGGACGACGATTCTCGTTCAGGACACGGCCTGCCTCACTTTCGACTTCCCATGAAAACTAGAAGCAGCAAAGCAGCGATGGCAAAGAGGTGAAGGCCTCCCATCAGAAGGAATGGTATGGTGTAGCTGCCTCCAAGGTCAAAGATCAAACCTGGGGGAAAATAATGACAATAAAAAGACACTAGTTAATTTCAACATGTCATTATGTAACCTCTTCATAAAACACATCCTCGGTACCAGGCAAAAAGGACCAGTGCATGGTTTACAAACTTATCAACATGACTATAAGAATTAATTCAAAGTAGGTGCGCCACCAAGTGGCGTAAAATGGGTGAAATTCTGAGGGCATTTTATATGTCACCCATACTGTGCACTGGGTGGGAAAGGCAGCCATTTACTCTTTCTGTTCTTGGTGTATCTCTTTCAGATTCGGATTGTCACTTTCTCCCAGCTTAATAATGCGTACTTCTCAACTACCAGATTTCGTCACATTACATTAAAATATTATCCCGGAGCGGCTGCTACGTCGTACGTTAGTCTCGACTTCGGCTGCAACCAGTCCCAGAAACATTATGGGGTTTTTAAGGGCTTGGATTTTTAGAATATGGACAAAGCTTTCACAAACAGGCTCGTCATTGTGATTAGGATGTCAGTCTATTTCCCCCATCTCTTAATTTCCAGTGTCATTTCTTTGTGGGCGCTTTTGTGTGACGAGTGCTAACAAACCTGGTAGATACAGAAGTAAGAAGGAAAACACTGCCGATTTCATCGCCATCCATCCAAAGGCGCTGCCTAGACAATCTGGTGGGACCACTTCACACGACAAGACATCCATCAGAACCCAGATCATGAAGGTGCTGCACGCGTATATGACCATAGCGACCACATTTAACCAGTAGGATGTTAGCCACGGGTCGACAGCGTAATACACGGCAATTGATATCAGGGCAATCCCCATGAACTGTTTGGTGCCGACTATCTGAATTTTGTCCATCAGAGGCCCAAGAATGACGCCAGTAAGCACTCTGGTCAGTCCCATGATCGAAGTCAGGGTGACGGCGTCACCCGGGTCGAATCCCTTGGTCAGTGTGTGAGGGACAAAGTACACTGCCCAGCCTAGGCTGGAAACGTGACTTACAATCGATATGACTGCTACACACCAGTAGGCCCGACTAGTAAGGAGTCTAGTGAGAAACAGTTGCCAAGCGGTTTGGAGAGCTGACAAGATTGAGTTATTTTCCTGCTTGACCCTTTCTCTCGAGGCGTCCTCATCCACGCTGCGTTGGTATTCTTCCCGAGAAGGATCGCCTGGTAAGGCAAAGTAGTCTATACTCCTCTTGTGTAAAGCAAAAGCACTGACAGACGGACACTGCAATAGGGCACCGCACACGGTCATATGAAAAAAAATAGAACCCAAGAGAAGCATGGCGCCTCTCCAGCCGTAAGTGTCCAGGAAGAGCTGAGTCAACGGTGGCATGACTATGAAAGCCACGGAGCTGCCCGTTTGGGAAATGGAGAAAGCTGTGGTTGTACTTCCTGAAGTAAAACAATGACCGAGTAGCTCTTTACACAAAACGTTAGAAATCCCGATACCAGGTCCTGGAGATAAAAACAAGACACCGTGAATAATATGTAAACACGACGAAAGACTCAAAATATATGAAAGTTATCTCGAGATGGGCATACGTCAATCATTATACTATACGTAAAGAACAAATCTTCATGCCCGAATTTTATTTTTGATACTGGCCATTTAGCTCTACCGACTGCATCCATCAACCTTTGTAGGTAGACTGTTTTGATTTGACAAGAAGACTAAAAGTGGCCTTGATTCATCCATAATTATCACAGACGTGTGTTGATTGAGTTCTGCCAAGTGACATGCATTTACTATTATTAAAACAGTTCTTATGCAGTGTACCAGTAGGTAATCTTGTAAGGAAAGTCGGGTCAGTTATTTTATTAATCCAAAGCTGTTTGGTTTATCCGAAAACTGGAAGGTATTTCAACTGCTATTGAAACGTATTGTGGCGGTCTGCACCGACGGGAACCTAGAGTCGTCCTCAGCCGACGTCAGCGAGCGGTCTAGGGAAAGCAGAATCGTTTTGGGACAGCCTACCACCAGGCGCAGGGAGTTGCACCACTATTGCTTTGGTCGTCCTCGACCCATACACAGGACCCGACGAATACTCGTCCTTCGTATTCTGGGCCCTGTCCCGATTCATAGGGATTTCTTTCGAAAAATTGTCTCCGGGATATCTGAGGGGTATCCGCTTGATTTTATGAGCTGGAATTGCACTGGTAGCCTATGTTCACAACTTACGGGGTAAACTATCCGTTAGGTTGCTAATTGCAGAAAACTCGCCTACTCCTCGTTTGGAGGAAAAAATGTTGCTGGCGTGCGTGCACGTGCCAGCGCTCATTCTACAAACGAACGCTACCTAATGTGATACACGCTGGCGAGTGTGAAATGTGGTTGTGTCCCCCTATCACGTGATCGGTCTGGACCAATAAAAAAGCATTATTCAGAACAGAGATATGACAATTCAAGCTGAAAACCATTAATGACTTGGGAGTGCTGCGTAGTTTG